CCCCTGCTTGACCTGCAGCTTCCCAACACTTTGGGTGCAGGAACCCCCACATGCACCTGCCTCATGTGCCCATGCACACCTGGCTTCCCCCCAAAAGTAGCTGAAGCTGAATTTCCCAGATCCCCAGAGGACAACAGCGGGGGCTCGATGTTAGACAGCAAACTTAGCTTAAAAGGGGATAAAACATGGGGTCCCTGGGTGGCTCAGTTAGTTAAGCGTCCGACTTCAGCTCAGGTCATGATCTCATAGCTCCTGAGTTCAAGCCCCGCATCAGGTTCTGTGCTGACAGCTCAGGGCCTGGAGTCTGCTTCAGATTCTGTGTCTCCCTCTCTCTCTCCCCCTCCCCTGCTCATGTTCTTTCTCTCTCTCAAAAATAAACAAACATTACAAAAAAAATTTTAAGGGAATGAAATGTGGTATTTCTTGCACACTTAAATATGCAGACCGAGGTGCCTATATCATAGGTAACATTTGTTGAGAACTGTCAAGGAGGAACACAAAAAGCAGCAGAGTTAAATTGAATAATAAAAAATAAAACCGAACCTGAGTGCTTTAGTGAGCTACACAGGGTCCACACACCAGTGGAGATATTCACCGAGCAGTTTGCTAAAGAGAAAAAATCCAGGGTTTTCTTTTTCTTTCTTTTTTTTTTTTTTTTAATGTTTATTTAGTTTTGAGAGAGCACAAGCAGAGGAGGGGCAGAGAGAGGGGGACAGAGGATTGGAAAGGGGCCCTGCGCCGACAGCAGTGAGCCGGATGTAGGGCTCGTGGACTTACCAACCATGAGATCATGACCTGAGCCAAAGTCTGTCACTTAACCGCTTCCCCCGCTTAACCGACTGAGCCACCCAGGCGCCCTAATCCTGGGGTTTTTATGCCAGAAAAGGGACAGGCAGCTGATAGCAGTTCTGTTACGTGAGGATGAAAACTGGTGGAGGGGCGCCTGAGTGGCTCAGTCAGTTAAGCGTCCGACCTCAACTCAGGTCACGATCTCGCGGTCCGTGAGTTCGAGCCCCACGTCCGGCCCTGTGCTGATGGCTCAGAACCTGGAGCCTGCTTCAGATTCTGTGTCTCCCTCTCTCTCTGCCCCCCGCCCCGACTCGCGCTTTGTCTCTTCTTCAAAAACAAACATTTTTTTAAAAAACTTTTTAAAAGACCTTGAGCAACTCAATCCCTAAGTTTCCTCTTCTATCAAATGAGAATTATAATAGTATCTAACACACAGGGCTGTTATGAGGGTTAAATGCGTTATTACACGCAGAGTCCTTGGAATGGTATTTTGTAGAATCTTTTAAGAGTTGACTAATCCTCGGATTATCTCATTTAATGTTGTCATCAAAGGAAAGACACTATTCTCTTTTTTTTTTAAGTTTATTTATCTTTGAGAGAGAGAGAGAGGGAGGGAGAAAGAGAGAGCAAGTGGGGGAGGGGCAGAGAGAGAGACAGAGAATCCCAAGCAGGCCACGCACTGTCAGCGCAAAGCCCAAAGTGGGGCTTGATCCCACAAAACCATGAGATCATGACCTGAGCCAAAATCAAGAGTCAGAGGCTTAACTGACTGAGCCACCCAGGCTTCCCTCTCCTTCCTTTTCTTAGCACCATTCACACCCCAGGGTCTAAGAATTGGCAGTGTAATGCCAAGGCCCTAGGGAGGCCCCTCTCAGCGTGGCCATCATTCAACAGTGATGCTGTGGAGACACGACTATCCTGGCCCCTCGGACCCCTGCAGCACCGCCAGCACGCTCGGCAAAAGCTGGGAACCACACAGTCCCCTGGGCATCCTGCCTCCCCCAAGCCAGGGAACAGACAAGAGTCCCCTCTGCCCGGGCGATCCCAGAATTCCCTTGTGTCCCAGTCTCTTGAATCCATAAAGATTCTCCCTCTAGTCAGGAGGAAGTCATCTCTTTCTCTCTCTTTCTTCAATAACCTCTCCCTGCCCTTCCCAAGACACCCAGCTTAATCCTCTGGAGAGGCTCCAGCTTTTGGCAGACAAAACCCCAGCAGAGAAATGTCTTGCACATCTCTCTTCCTACCCGGCCCGCCACCCTCCCTGGAGCACGGAAGCTCAGGCCAGCCGCCTGCCACACTGGAGGGAAGAGAGAAAACGTCACTACCTCTGACCGTCAGTGCACGGGAATACGGGTCGGCGCTGGGATTCTGCTCAGGGTGACTCTCCCAGACGTTGGAGTCCAGCCCCGAGGTACCAGGCTGGCCCCGGGGCACCAGTGAGATAGCCCCAGAGGAGGCCGCAGTTTGGTGGGGACACACACCCCAGCTGACCGATACTATGCGGAGCAGAAGCTTCGATGGTGGTTTGAAGCTTAGCACCGAGGGAAGAGCTATCCATTCCTTGTGGGAAAGGCGGAGAACGCTTCCAGGGAGGGGAGCGATGAGCTGGACCTTACCAGCTCAGATGGGTAAGAGGCCCAGCAGAGGGGGCAGCTGGAGGCTTCATACCGCCCCGGTGTCCAAGAAAACGGCGCCAGGTGGCCCTGAGCATGGTGCCATGGGGGCGGTGAGGGCGGTGAGGTAGGGAGGTAGGTAAAGGTCAGTAGTCAGAGGCCTGGGATGCGGGGCCAGGAAATTGGACTTTATCCTGTAGGCAGTGAGGGGTCACTGAAGGCTCTGCAAGGCTCCTCTGCAAGGAGGGATGTGCCTAGGTGGTGCCCTAGGGGTGGGGCGGTGGACCCGGATGCCCAGGGGGTACGCGGGGCCTGCCACCGGCTGCCAGCGAGAACAGCTGCCCACCTGCAGGCCGACTGAACACATTGTGCCTGAAGAGGCCGTGGTGGATTTTTCTAAGCCCGCACTTGACTCTGTCCACACAGAACCCGCCCGTGTGCGGTCTTTGGGGAGGCTGCCCGGGAACAGCATATCGATCAGGCTGCAAGGAGAGAAGGAGGAAAAACACCTTCAAACAGAAGAGCTTTAAATCCGTTATTGGTTCCTAAAGAGCCAAGACCACGAGCACACGCAGGCCGGCTCTGAGCCAGCCTCACGCGAGAGACACAAGGACATAGAGGCAAACACGTGGGTGCAAAGACACACGCGTACACAGAGGCCCCCGCGAAGCCGCCGAAGCAGCCGCTAGTGCTCACAGCTGCAAGCACAGAGCGACAGTCATGTGTACTGACACATACCTGCAGCACAGAGGCAAAAGTGCACGGGCGCGTGCAGGCAGAACAGCCCAGAAGGACCTGCATACGCCCAGAGAGACGCATTTCCACGAACCTTCAGCCGAGAATACGCCTCTACACGCGCAGAGACGCTTGCGCATGCGCACGGACACACACCCAACAACCCACTCTGAACTCCCCACCCTTGGGCGGGTGGCGCCCTGCTCACCACCTTCTTTCAGCCTCCAGGTGTCCTGTCAGGAGCGGAGGGCCCCTGGACTCCCTCCTGTGACAGTCAAGGTCACAGAATGTAAATGACTCAGAGCTACCCCACAGGGGGGCAAAGGGGGCGCGTCAGTTGCCTCCGGGTAGTTCAGGGCACACGCACGGCACGAGGGTCGCGGAAGAGACTTCTAAATTACTCATGCCCGGGGCCCCACCCCCAGAGACTCTGATCCGATTGCTGAGGGGAGGGCACTGGGCACGGGTAGGGTTTTAACCCTCCCAGGTGATGCCAACGTGCTGCCCGGGTTGGAGATTTTACTGGAGCAGCAGATCTAGCCTCTGGGGTCCCGCGAGCATCCTCGTTCTCCGGCAGGACTGCCCCAACATGGGATCCTGAGGGCGCCCTTCTCCACCCTCAGGAAGCCCTTGATACCCCGGGTCTGACGCACCCCACCCCCCACCCCCAGACTCTCTTCTAGGAGTCCCTGGTGCAGAGCTGAGTCGCGCTGGCGGGCGTGCCCATCCGCGCACTGCGACTGCCCCCTGCTGGACAGAGACGGCCGAGCCCGGCTGCCGGCGGACCTGTTCCCACCGCGGCTGAGGGCAGGCTGACGCGTGGAGCGACCTGCAGAGGAACCCCGAAGCGTCCCCAGACCTCTGCTCTGCCCCTTCCTTCCAAGGGCCAGCCACCTCTCCAGTCCCAGTCATCTCGGACCTGGGTGATCATAAAGGTCCTTTTTTGTCCATCTACTCAATGATAGCCACTAATGCCATTGACCTGGGGGGGGCGGGGGGGAGGGGCAGTCCTGGCAGCTGGGAGATGAATGAGGGAGGAGGCGTTTCCAGTCCTCGCCCGCGCCCACCCTTCCTCCAGCAGCGGCCTGAGCCGCCTCCCTCCAGCTGCCTACTCCATACACCAGATTCGCCCACTGCCCTAAGGGTAAAGCCCAGACTCCTGAAAACGGCTGCCCAGTCTCCCTGGAAGGGCCCCCGCCCCCCCCCCCCCCCCCAGGCTGCCTGGCAAACTCTTAGTCTTGCACGTCCTTCTCCTGCCGCCTCCTCTAGGAAGGCTTCCCTGACCTCCTCACTCCGCCGCCCCCCACACACATTAATTGCCTCCTCCTCTTCTTCCTGAACATTACATACCTACCTACCCGTTATAAATAATTCTCTGTTCACATGTCAGCCTCCCCCCCGACCAGACAAGGGGGATTCCCCAAGGGCAAGGACCAGGGGCCTGGGGTCAATGAAGTGTTGTAGTACAATGAACGAAGGCTTCTCCAACCCGCCTGGTCCACGGTGCACATTCCAGGCTCTGGTTCCACCACGCTGAGGGGCAGAGCCCTCTCCTCGGAGGAGCAAGGTCTAGGACAAGGAAACTAACAACGACAGCACTAACGCTAACGAAACACTTACTCACCAAGTGCCAGGTGCGTATTCCGCCCCCAGTGCTTTACTACCTCAATTCGTTTAACCGCCACAACGCTGTTATCCCCATCTCATAGATGGGAAGACTGAGGCACAGAGAGGCCTACGCAACTTTGCCCAAACACACAGCGGGGCAGCCCAGGAGGCGGCTCCAGAGGCCACGCTGTTCACACTTCTCGCTCAAGGGAAGAGAAAGCTGGGAGAAGACCCAAGAGAAGTCATGCCCACATCCTCCCTCCAGCCGGCAGTTCTAGGGCTGCGGCTGCTTTCGCTTCCTTCTTAATTTTTCTGACAAGAACAGATGCCACCGCAGCTGACAACCAGCCGGCCGGTGTGAACGGGAAGGCAGGTCCGGCCGCTCGTTTGTCTGGTAAGAGAATGGAATTGGACAAGGCGGCAGCTGAGCTGTGGGAGACCTGGAGTTCTCCAGGGGTGGGGGCGGGAGCCGGAGGAGCCTCAACAGGTGGAGAGAGGGTGCGGTGGCGGGATGGGGTGCCCAGATGCCAGTGGACGCTCTGGACCAGCCCCTGCCTCTAATCTTTCCCTCCTGCCTTCTTCCCTTCCTCCCTCTCTCCCTCCTTCCCTTCCTTCTATCCAGGCCTAGTGCACAGACTCTCCAGAGCTATGCCGGCTACAGGAGCACAAGGAGGGAGCAGTCACTCTCACTGTCCTCAAGGCTGATGGCCCCTCAGAGCCTGGCATGAAGAGGGCTTTGACTTTGACGGAGCAGGACTCCGAAGCCCCGGCTGCCTGGGTGCCTTCCACCAAGTGAACTGCACAAGGTCCTGAGCTCCACATCTGTAAACCGGGGCGCAGACAGCACCTGCTCCGTTGGGGGCTGGGAGGACTGAGCTTACACGGGTAAGCACTCTGACACAGAGCCTGGCCCACAGCCGGCCAGCACCTTCTCCCTCCCCCCAGCTTCCTCGCCAACCCCGGGGAGCCTCGACGCTCCTGTCATTCCTCACCCCCCCTCACAATCCAGAAGCGCCCCTGAAGGTCTAACCACTGTCCCTCCTGCTGCAGGGCTCTTGTCATCCACGGCAGCTCTTTGCACGCACGTGCGGATGCGTTCCACGCTGCACTCACGCCCCTTCTGCCTCAGCCCCCGCAGGAGGGGTGTGGACACTCTGAGACCCTGGTCTCAGAGGAGGGAAGAGCTCGGCTTGGGTGAAACGGCTCCCGGCCCCGAACCAGGTGTGTCTGCCTCACCAGTGGCTCAGGCCTGGGTGCTATGCGGCACCCCGGACTGCGAAAAGCCAGCTCCTCAGGCCGTCCAGCTGCAGCACCAAGGTCCTGTTCTGACAGAGCTGGGGGCGGGGGGGCTCCCTGGCGCAGCCCCAGCCCTGCAGCCACAGTCTCAGGAAGCAAAGTCACAAGATCGCAGGGTTGGGCCACCCCTCTGGCTTAGCAAGCCCCTCAAAGAGGAAGCACATCCGTGGGTCCGGTGTCACGAGCGTGTGCCCGAGGAGGTGCTCTTTGTCAGTTCTGAGTGTGCACGATTGCGTGTGTCCGCGCGCCTCCGGGGGGGGCCCGGGCGGGGGGGTGGGTAACTGTGCATTGGCTTCTGTGCTTTGTGTGATTGTAGCTCACGTGTCTGTGTCTGACCGTGTCTCTCGGTACCTGCATGAACGTGTCTGTGTGGCCCTGGGACACTGTCCCAGACAGGGCACCTCGTCATCATCGCCAGGATCAGCATTGCTATCCCTCACTGAGTACTCACTGTCACTGGGGGCCGTGTGCTTTACCTACGTGGTGTCATTTATGCCTCACAAAACAAGCTTCCTGACTCCAACCCCTTGCCAAGCCCCATGCATACGGGGTCTCAGAGGCCAGGCCAGGCTCAGATTCCATGGTTTTGGTCTTTGAGGTCCCTCACATTCTAGCTCAGAGCGATATGCCAGACTGTATCTCCCACAGTCCCCCTCCTCAGCCAGGAAACTACCCCTCACTCTGCCAGACCCTGCTTCCTCGTGGAAGCACCACCAGCACCCCCCTCCACAGCCCTGCCACCTCCTCCAGGAAGCCTTCCCTGACTTGCCAAGGGTAGGCAACTCTGATGCCCCAGGCAGAGCCTGATTCCTCAACTAACCTCCAGTATATGGTAGGTGCTCAGGAAGTGGTAACTGAGCCTGTGACGCTTGCCTAGGAGTAAGGGAAGCAGGGAGGTGGCCCCATTTCCCTTCCTGAAGCTTCCCCCAGCTTCCTTCAAGGATGCAGCTCTGCTCTCTCTCCTGGCTCATCTGTAAGGCTCAAGGTGCCTCGTCCGAAGCAGACGATCTGAAGATGCCCAGACCCGGAGAAGCGACGTAGGGGTGTGCCCAGAGCAGGCACAGAACCCTGCTTGTAGCTGAACTCTCCCCTTTTCCCCAGACAGCTGCTACCCGCCCCCCCCCCAAACCTGAGACCAGCCACAGCCACCACCCCTCCCTGTGGTCTCTGGGTGGCCTCCAGGGGGCCTTCCTTGGAAGGGGGCAGAGCAGAGGGAGAGGAAGGAAGTGAAGCAAAAGCAGGGACAGACAGAGGAGCTCAAAGTCCAAGGAGGCTGCCGGAAGGGAGGGAAGGGGAGGCAGAAGAGAAAGGGGGACTGATCGTTTATTCCTCTCTCCGTGTCTGCAGGCTGATGCTTCCCCCTGGTTAACAACTGCGGTCCAGGCAGCGGCCCCAGCCCCTGCTAATTACCATGATTAGCACTGAGCAAGCTGCTGCATTTTATGACTCTCCAAACCAAAAAAAAATAATTAAAGCAATTACTGTCATTAACACTCTGCCCTCTTCACCACCTTCTCTGAGAGTGAGCAGCCAACAGGCCCCGGGAAGTCGTGATCAGACCCTGGGTGCCCTCCCCTCCCCATTTGGTGCCCCACCACCTGCCACCTCCAGGAGCACCAGCCTGGATAGTTCAAGCCCCAGCAAGCCTGGAAGGCCACAAGGCCTTGGTGGGACCCCAGGCAACCCCCTGCGAGCCTGGAAAAGCCGGAGCCAGACCCCCGGGGAAACTGCACAGAGAAGCTTCCCCTCCCAGGCAGGAGCCCACCAGACACACACACACACACACACACACACACACACACACACACACAAGACAAGGAGGACCCCTGCAGCCCCTGCTCCCTCCCGTCCCCACAGCCCGACTCAATGCTCCGCCACACCCAGCTGAGTGCCTGGGTCACCTAAACCATGGAGCTTCAGTTTCCTTGTCTGTAAAATGGGCTGCCTAATCTGCTTTGGCTGCTATAAAATACCATAGGTGGGGGTGTTTTAAACAACAGACAGTTGCTTCTCACAGTTCTGGAGGCTGGGAAGTCCAAGATCAAGGTGCCGATGAACTCAGTTCCCTGGGAGAGCCCTCCATCTGGCTTGCAGAAGGCTGCCTTCTCACTGTGTGTGCTCCTACCCCTTTCCTGCTTAGTGAACTAGGGATGGGGGAGGGGGAAGGAAGCCAGCCCTCAGGTGTCTCTTCATGTAAAGGCACCAATCCCATCATGGGGCCCCCAACCCCATGTCCCCAGCTAAACCTAGTTACCTCCCAAAGGCCCCACCTCCAAATACCACTACACGGGGGTTTAGAGCTTCAACATATGAATTTGGGGGTGGGGGCAGGGGTGGCTCCATTCAATCCATAGCATGGGCTTTTGAAATGCCTGTGAAACAATGCCTTCCTCATGAGCCTTTGAAGATTAAATGAGCCGATCAGCAGGATCACCTAAAACAATGCCTGGCACGTAGTAGGCCCCAAATCAGCAGTGGTTCCCTTCAAAGAAGGACTAGGGGAGAGCAGAAGGAGGTGCTGAGGAGGCTGGAGAAGGGACCAGGCTCTGGGCTGGGCTGCTTTCGTAAACCATGGTGCCTGTGACCCAGGGTTGTTGCAAGAGCCTAACTGATCTCCCTGCTCTGTCCCTGCCTCCTACCCTTCCATTTATTCTCAATGCACAAGCCAAAGTGAATCTTTTAAAGCATAAGTCACAGAGCACAGAGGATTCTTAGGGCGGTGGAAATACTGTGTAGGACAGCATAATGATGGATACATGTCATTACACATTTGTCCGAACCCATAGAACGTACTCGGACAGCAAACCCTGGTTTTTATGGTCTTTGGGTGGTAATGATGTGTCAGAGGAGCTTCGTCAATTGTAACAAATGTACCACTCTGGTGGGGGGCGTTGATAATGGGGGAGGCTGTGCACGAAGGGGGGCAACAGGTGGAGGAGAAATCTCTGTATCTGCCTGTCAATTTTGCTGTGAACCTAAGCCTGCTCTAAAAAAAAAAAAAAAAAAAAAAAAAAAAAAAAAAAAAAAGTCTTTAAATTGCCTCTCCAAAAAAAGTAATAAATACTTAAAAAAAAAAAAAATAGGGGTGCCTAGGTGGCCCAGTCGGTTAAGTGTCCGACTCTCGGTTTGGGCTCAGGTCATGATCTCATGGTTTTGTGAGTTTGAGCCCTATGTCGGGCTCTGCACGACAGTGCGGAGTCTGCTTGGGATTCTCTCTTTCCCTCTCTCTGCCACCCCCCCCACCCCCCGTTCATGCTCTTTCAAAATAAATAAACTTAAAAATTTTGTAATAAAAAATTAAAAGCATAAACCAGATCCTATCACTTTTCTGCTCAGAATCCTGCATGTATCCCCGTGTCACTCAGTAAAAGTAAAAGTCCTTATGATGATCTCCCAGGCCACTTCCTCTCCTGCTCCCCACCCCCACTTGCTCTGACCTCAAACATACCTAACATACTCCTGCTCTGGGGCTGCCCCATCTCTCAGGAACGCTTTCTCCAGATGCAACTCACCTCTTTCAGGACTTTACCCAATAGCTTCCCAGCGATGCAACTCTCACGTACCTCCCAGGCCCCTGCCCCTTTTACTCTTCCATTCTCCCATTGTGCTCAACACCTTCCAACACACTTTGCAATTTACTTGTTTATTGTGGTCATTCTTTATTCTCTAGCCTCCAGAAAGGCAGGGATCATTGTCTGTTTTGTTCTGATGATTTCCTACATCAATGCCTGGCACATAGTAAGGCACCCAGGAAATATTTGTCTGGTCTAATTGAGGAACTAATCTTAGCCAAAGCATTAGGCTTCGTCTGGAAGATCTAGTGGCGCCCCCTGGAGGGACGTGAGCCACCAGAGACCTCAGCACAAGTAGCGGATAAGCAACGGGCTTCGGACGGTGCAGGACTGGCCTTCAACAGCGACACCGTGTGTCGAGAAGAAGCAACAGCAGGAGTGAGCTCTCTTGTTTCTTCTGGGCGTGGCCAATGGAGAGGAGGCGGGGAGATTCTCAGCTGGGCTTTCTTCTAATAAAGGGCAACCAGCAATTATTTTAAAACTCAAAGTGCACATCCATTAGGATGGCTATTACTTAAAAACAACAACCAGATGGGGCGCCTGGGTGGCGCAGTCGGTTAAGCGTCC